CCAGGAAGAAGCGTCAGCTCCTGGCCTACTTCCTCTTTCCCCAGGACGCCTGGGATATGGTTCTAATCTCTCCAGAGCTTAAGAGAGCGGTTACTGATAGTGGCCAGACTGTCCCACCAGTCATTCTGCCCATGAGTGACAGGTGCATTGCAACAGGGATGGCATTAACAGGAGGAAAAGACAGCCCTGTCGTGGATTTGGAGCTTTATTTTCCATAGCTGTAAGACACAATTTAATCATTAAGTCCTTTAGCATACTAATGTCCCCTAGCATGCCTGCTCTCTCTTCTCTGAGCATGACGGCTAGACTCTTTGAACAGTGAAATAGCGTGTGTTGGACATGGAGAATAGACACCTGTTTCTTTTCCTTTCTCGCTTTATTTGAATACCCCTCTTACTTCTGTTATTCTCCCCTGTGTCTCTTCATGAACTTTGTTCCTGACCTCTATTTGTTTCGTTCCTTTGAGGTTTTTCTTGAGTCGTCTCCCTCAGGTAAATCCCCAAACTCTCAAGGCTCACTTCCTTTTTTATCTTGGCAGTTTACTCATATCCCTTCGATGACCTCAGTCATGGACATTAGTCAAACAGTGAAGCAAATCCATCATTGTGGACGCTGCCATCAAGACACTACTGGGGTCTTTGTCCCCCTGTTGTCTCAATTTCCCATATGCAGAAGCAGAGCCTCTATTTAAATCCTGCTTACAAGGTCTGGGCAAGCCCCTGTTTATAGTAAAATCCTTTTTAAATGGTCTCAGGTATGGTGCCTGGAAATTGCTCATGGCTAGGTCAGACCATAGGCCAACGTAGCTGTAGTGTGAGCGATGACTTAATGCTCTTTAAGAGAAGTGATTTTGCATAGTCCCCTGATGGATTACTGTGGCAGGGACATTAAATGGAAGTTCAAAAGGAATCTCTGCTTTTATAAGGGCAATCAAAATAATTTTTAGTGCCTCAAGCTTTATAATTAATATATTGGGTGAATCGCATATACTTGAGAGAGATTCAAGACATGCTTGCTCTTCAAGGTATGGCCAGAAAGAGTTTGCTTTCAGACCACCCAGGAGGCTGAAAAGTATACATTTCTGGGGATATAGACAATTGGGGCTGAAGCCCATCTTCTTTTTTGCTGAGACTGGGAGCCAATTATCTTAATCTTTTTGGATTTTTGTTGCCTCACCTTTCAAACTCCTACTTCACATAGGTTCTCTAGGAATCAATGCAATAATATGTCTGGCATCTAGCAGATGCCCCCACCATATCTGTACTGTAGACATCTGATTCTTGTCCTCCTTAGCAAGCTGTTGAGCCACAAGGAGGCTAAGTGGGTAGATAGTCATATCTATTAAGTCATTAGTATCACTTCTCAGGAGGTAATGAATTATGGTTTTTGTGCTTTTTGGAGTGGTTGTGTTAGCCAGACTTTCACTGCTCTGATAAATACCCCAGAGAAACAATTCAAAGGGGAAAAGGTTTATTTTGGTTCTAAGTATCAGAGGTTTCAATCCACAGTTGCTTGGTTCCAGATTTTCAGGGTTACGATGAGGCAGAACATTATGGTGGATAGGGTTTAGTGGTAGGCCTCTTGGCACAAAGCTACCTACTTCAGATGATCAGGAAGCAGTGTGCCTTCACAGGAAGGGGCCAGGGTCATGGCATGCCCTCCAAAGGCATGCCACAGTGACCCCCTTTCTCCAACAAGGCCCCAGCATCTACCGCTCCACTATCTTCCAGTAATCTCTTTGGATTCTGAACCCATCATTGGATTAGAACATTGATTAGGTCAGAACCAGTATAGTACAGTCACTCCTCTTAAAGTTCTACCATGGAATACTGCTGCCTTGGAAACCAAGCCTTTCAGCACATGCAGTTTCATACAGTTGTGTGCAATATTATTCTTCCTGCAATTCAGGACCTTCAGCTACCTACTCTTGTATCCTCTGGGAGTGGTTGTGAGTCTATCTGTTTAGACATGACCTTCTCTTTGAGGAGTCAAGAAAAAAACTAAGAGCCAGAAAAGATTGCTCTGCTAGAGGGAAAGCCGGTACCATGCTCTGTATTCACAGAAAAGGTCCCAGGTGCATTGTATGACACCTGTTTACATCTTTGTCACATTTTCTAAGCCATTCATCCCACAAATTTTTGGTCACCATTTCCAGCACATAAGTCATGCAGGCAGCCCAGCAGTGAATCTATCTGAAGGAACAGATCATTGTGTGTGAATACATGAGGTAGGTGTGCACATTTATCAAGAGACATAATAGTGATCCCAACACAGCACCCTCCCTGAGAAATGACTGGTCATTGCTGGTTGGGAATAGGGAGGGTCCATGGAAGTACCTGTACTCTCCAACCAATCTTGAATATCAGAGAACATAAGAGAACCAATGTATGTGCTCTTAGACCATGCCTTGTCATTTTACTGAGATGGAAGGATGCTTTGAGCCTGTTGCTGCAGGCTCAAAGTAGACCATCAACCAAAGTTAAAGCATGGCTATTACTGTCCCCTTGCTCCCTCCTCCCCTGCCTCATGGTGCTTTACCACTGAGCTACACTACATCCTCACATCACTTTCTAAACTAGACCATTGCTAAGAAACAATATACCCCTCATCTCTTCTTCTCACAATTGTACATACCTAAGTCTGCCCTCCTGACTCCCCTATACACAGACATCTGTAGACACACAAACACTGCCCTGACACCATGTTATCAGAAATTGGGATCCCATGAGTGCTTCTAATGAGCTATGCATACACCCAGCTCTCTTCTATTTTACTTTAAGTTTTGAGACAGGGTTCCATGAATTTCCCAGGTTGGCCTTTAACTCCCCTTGGCAAGCCTCGGACTTAGGATTCTCCAGCCCCAGCCTCCTAAGTAACTATAGGAATAACATACCTGTACTACCAGGCCTGACTTGGAGCTCTTGATTTAAAAGAATATTCTACATATTTGAATACTATAAACAATGTTCCAGAAATTATTATTCTCTACATTTTCTCTCTTCATTGTTATATATCATTAGGGGATACAGTCAATTGAAGGCATGCAGATTATTTTTGATGGCAGAAGTATTTTGAGAATGGAGAAGACATCTGATATTGCAGGAAGCCTATGTGTGTATAGGAGGAAGTCAGACTGAGACCCTGAGACCTTCTTGCCATGGTGTATATGGGACTCTTTTACTGGATGTGGGAAGTTACTCAGATGTGATTCTCACTGTACACTTTATATCTAGTTCACCAATCATGAAACTGTGCCTCTAAATGCAATATTTTCCCCTCCCTAGTTTATATTTACCACTTAATAGACTTCAGTGTATCTTCTGAATAGAAAACATTAAGTTTATTTGCTTCTTAAACATGCTTAGATTTTCTCTAGAAAGTTCTGAAAATGAGGAAGAGGACAATTGAAAAGGGCAGAAGGGGTGGAGACTAGTACTTCTGGCTTGGGCAAAGCACATTTCATAGGCAGAGGAAAATTTTGGCAGATACACAGGCCTCGGAAGAGTATTTGGAAAGCCACTCTGCTTGCTTGGCGGGTATCTTTGAGATCCAGTGGCTGTGGAAGGACAGCCCATCCTCAAAAGACCACAGAGAGCGGCCAGTTCCTCTACCTCCCCCAAACAGCCAACACTTTTCTTGCAGAGGATTGCCTGCCTGCTTGAAGATGGAAATCAATGACTTAGAAACTGATTAAACAATTCAAATAGCAACTGATAAATGGATTAACCCTCCATAATGTAATTCCACTGGCTTTTGTCTTCTGCCTTCCCCAGGTAAGATTTCTATTCCTGGAGGCAAAGCAGAGGCATGGAGGAAGCAAAGGCCGGAGGGGATCATGTTAAAGGGGGTGAATCCGTTTATCACTTACTGTCTGGCTGGTACTTCTGCTCACATATCTGCTGCTTCTTCACAGATTTGTACCCTACGGGACCCTGATTAATGTTAGCCAGTGAAATAATGAGAGATAGCAGCAGACACAGGGGATGCTAAGGAGGAACATACCCTAGTGGTTAAGGCTGATTCCACAAGCAGAGAGACTTTTTTTTTTTTTTTTTTTTTTTTTTTTTTTGTGGCAGTTAGGGAGTGTGAATATCCCAAAGAAATGTCTACACCAGGATGAGAATAATAAGAAAATGAAAGCATTCTCCTACAAGAGGAACCTGTTCTAGGCCTTTCAACCAGCCCCCAGTAACTGGGAATGACTTTGGGTCTCAAAGGCATGGGTATTGTTACTGAGCTCTGTTTTTAAGGTCATACCTGAAGGTTTTCAATACCCTTGTTTTGAAATTCGGCAGGGATGGCTTATGGAGTTATTGTGTCCAGTTATTGTGTGATGATCTTAAGCCTACACATATGCTCATTCCCTCATCATTCTTTCTCTGGCATGAGACCAAATAAGTGCCCAGTCAGCCTGTGTCCACTTCTAATTCTAGGCATTTGGGGTTTTCAGATGAATTTACCCTACTTGCTTTCCATGATCACTGAGTCTAAAACCTGAGAGTTAAGGCTAAGGACAGACACTGTATACACTCTAAGATGTTTAATAGGAGTTCTCAAGAGACTCTCTAGCATGCTGTCTAGAAGTGACTACACACAGATACTGGCTTGACTAAGCATTGGCTGTTCTCTCTCTCTAGTTACCACTGTTTACAATTTCCCTCTGATGTTTAGACTCTGTGTAGGACTGACAGAGGTTTACTTGACTAACACCATTTCTGATTGCTTTATCAATTTAGAGGTGGAATCAGAAGGGCACTGGGGCTTCTATAGAAAAATTGAAATGGAAAAATTTGCAACGATGAGATTTTGATTGATGTGTACCATTGGACCAAGAAGGATTAAAATAAAGCAAACAAACCCTAGCCTAATATAACCACTAGGATGCAACAAACTCTTTCATTCTAAGCTTTCTATTCTTCCTTAAAGATACTCGGCTACACTCCAGAAGGATGGGCAGCATCTAAGTCTAAACTTGGAATTCTTTCTCAATGTTTCCACAGCCCAGAAAGGACCGGATGGGACAGTCATTCCCAATAACTACTGTGACTTCTGCTTGGGAGGCTCAAACATGAACAAGAAGAGTGGGAGACCTGAGGAGCTGGTGTCCTGTGCAGACTGTGGACGCTCTGGTGAGTGAGGCCCCTTCCTGCCCTGCGTGCTGTAGAGCTCTCCTACTTGGATTGCTCTGCCATTCTGCCATCTCACCTTGGTTGGGGAGGGAGAGAGGAGAGGAGAAAAGAGAGGAGAAAAGGGCTTTCAGGTCCTTTTCCTGTTTTTCTTCTTTGGATCTTACGGACCGAAAATCATTCTCTGGGTCCCAGAGGAAAGGACAAGGAGAAGGTCTGTCCCTTCCATGAGGTGATAATTCCTTTGTATGTGTAGTTGTGGTCAAATGTAAAGTAGAGCAGAAATATGTGGAGATTCCAGGCAACATGCTAGCCTGTACTGGAAGATGGACATTTGACAAAAATGTGTTTGTTCTGTGAAAATACCTGGGGCAACCCCAGAGGGTGGAAGTATAAGTATTAGGGAATCAGCCACATCCTGAACTGTGGGGCTTGGAGATTCCGGTGGCCACTTATCCCATATTTCTATGTGCAACAGGACAGAGCTACCTACACAAGAGGCATGAGGGCAAGTGTCCCTGAGACCAACCTGCAGTTGACTTTTCATAGTCTTTCCATCTCTTCAATCTATCCAAAGAATAAAGAATCAAAAAGGGACTTTTGGTCTCATTCCTTCACTCTGAAAATGGGTTAGAGTCTTGGCTGTGGGATTAGTTTTTAAATTGTAGATAAATCATTATTTTTACACGATTATGGTTGGTAGGTGCCATCCCCAGCCCCATTTTTCTATGGCATAATTAGACCAAAGCATGAGGCAGGGAAGAGTTTCATCAGTTGCTTACTATAGGTGAGACACCTTGATTGGGTGGTTGGGGCTAGCAGGAGAGGTCATTTCATCTTATACCGTTTGACCCCAGTGTTATTTTCAGTTCCAGTCCCAAGAGAAGGCCGGAGATGACCTCATCTTGGTTTTCTGCAATGACTCAGCTCTCCCTCTTGCAACCTCAAGCCATACCTTTAGTGCTGTATTTTGAAGCTGAGGTTGTTTAGAGCTGTAGACGGCCTTGAGCGGTAAACCAGTAACTAGAGACACAACTTAGTGTCCATTGCATAAGACCCTTTACATTTAATTCTCAAGGACCCTGCCAAGGAGTTCCTTTCATGCAATTCTGTCACTTCATTCATGGTCCAAACATGATCTGTAACATTGAACTTTTTGCTTAGAAGACACAACCCTGAGGGTAGACGGTGCTGGTTTTTAGATTTTTAAAAAGAAAATGAAAACAAATGAACGTCAACCTGGTGCTTTTTATTTGTTTTAAGGTCAGGCATTCAAACAATATCTCTTCTATCAGAAGCAAGGCCGCTTGGTGGAGTGGTATGCTGAGCAGGGTATCGTGGACTGCTGTAGGCTTTGGTGGGTTAGAGAAGGCAGTTTTAGAATTCTCACTGTAATCTGATGTCATTTCACCTTTTTCCTCCCAACAAAAAGATGAAGTGCTTCAACTGATCCATGGGCATCAGAAATAGGGTGGTGATTTTGTTTTTTTCCCTACGTGAAGCTGGTCTCTGTACACCTTTCGCTCAGCATTTCTTTTCTTGGTTTTGTCTGATAAGTGCTTTACATCTCCTGTTACAGTACCATAGGTGTTCTCACTGTAAATGCTGGGAATTAATTTGGTGGGCCATTTATTAACACCTGACTCTAATGTTCCTGAAATAGTTAATATACAGGTGGCATTAGTGCCTTCGTTGGGCTGCTAAGTCAGATGGGTGAAAACATCTCTGGGGCCTCCCCAGGGTCCTTCCAGAGACTATGAGTAGGAATAGTGACTGTTTTCTAGAAGAAAGGCCTTGCTGACCCTGGCATGGAAGGGACCATCACTATGGTATTGGGTTCCAATAGACTATGAAACAAGTTAAGCCTGAGTTTTTATGGACTTCAAAATACACTGGGCCTTTTACAACCCCCATTTTCACCTTTCAGAATGTCTTGAGTTCAAGTTGCCAGGGTGAACTTTGTGGAGGAGCTGAGAGCTTGGTATGTTTACTGGTCGTAGAGTGTGCAAACGTTTCCTTCAGGACTAAAGGGAATAAGAAGTCCTCTGAGCTGCCACTTAGACTTTCCCACTGCTCTTCGCTTTCAGTGCAAATGAACTATACGGGGGGTGGGGGGGGGGGAGATTGAAAGAGCTGTCAAAGAGCGGGATTAGGGGCGGGTAAAAATAAAAATAAAATGGACAGAGGCTTAACCACCTTGAATGGGTTATCTTGGTAATACCTTGGTAAAGCTGACTGTCAAAGTGACGGACGAACATTGTTCAAAGAAACGTCAACTGAAACTACAAAGAAATACCAACAAGGCTTTAAAACCGCCAAGCGAAAGCATTGTGTGGGGCAGGGCTGGGTGAGCGTGTGCCTCCGTGCGAGCGGACCAAAGGAGATATCGTATGTGTATCTCTTGCTATCAGAAGCTGTGGACACATGTACCGTGAAAGAGACGGGCCCTTTTCTGGGAAGCAGAATCTTCCTGGAAATGTGTGCTTTGTCCCAAATCCATTACCAGGTGATATACCCGGTTAGTCTCTTTTGGTGTAACTGGCTTATTATCTTGCTGTTAGGAATAACACTGTAATGATGTAATGAGAATATTAATGATGCTGTCTGTTGCTTAACCCATGTGCTGATATATTCATCATACATGTCAGCTCATTTGGGAGGAGAAGGCAGGAAGGAGAAGGAGGCAGCGGCGGCAGCACGTACCACGGAGGACTTATTCGGTTCCACGTCAGAAAGTGACACCTCAACTTTCTACGGCTTTGATGAGGACGATTTGGAAGAGCCTCGCTCCTGTCGAGGACGCCGCAGTGGCCGGGGTTCGCCCACAGCAGATAAAAAGGGCAGCTGCTGAGCCCATGGGACAGACTGTCTGGCCAATTAGCCACCCCCTCTGACTCTGGTCATTGTTCTAGTTCTGACATATATTTTTAAATGAAAGACAGCTTGGGCTTTTCCCATTATCCTTGCTTTTTCCTCCTACCTTCCATGTGCCCCGTCCCCTCCTAACATCCTTCTATTCTGGGTACAACAGAAGCACAAACTACTGAAAACAACACAACAAAGGAGCAGAATAAGAGTCCTCTGGGTAGAGGTGGCACCATAGTGGGCTATTTATTTTCCCTAGAAATAGGAAGTTAGGTGGATTTTCTTTCTGCTGGGGGAGGGCATCTTTTTGATGTGAGCAGAGTTGATTTCCCCATTTTTTTTTTTTAAGGGAACAGGAGCATGAGGTTTGGAAACAAAGAACAAATAACATTAACAATTATTATTTATATGTGCTAGCTATTATTAGATTCAGATGAGGGGAGAGAGAGAGAGAAAGAGAGGGAGAGAATAAGAGAAATGGAAGTAATATCCTGTTTAGGGGCAAGCCAGTGTGTGTGTGTGTGTGTGTGTGTGTGTGTGTGTGTGTGTGTGTGTGTGTGTGTGTAGAATTTCCTCAATGGGAGTTGGTGGCTCGGCAGAGCAAACCCCACCCCATGTCTCCTCCATGACCTTTACATCTTTCTCTCTGCTGTGAGAAAATGGCAGCCATCCCAGAGAAGCCTGGGGCCACTTACATTTGGCCCCCTTCCAGCGCTGGCCCTGACCGGCAGTGGCCGCTCCCTGGGCTCCTCTCCTTTCCTTGCTGTGGGGTTTCCCTCACTTTCGTCCTGGTGAAGATCAGCGTCCATCCATCTGAACACAGGAATGGAATGTGAACAAGTCACAGGCTCGGCTCTGGCAGAGCAACGGAGGTGGCAACTCCTGGAAGGAAGAGTGATACCGCACAATGTATCTCCCCTCCCTTCGCCCCTGCGTAAAAACATGTAGCCGCCCATTGGATGATGACGTCTTCCGTATTTCTTCCACTTTTTATAGTGCCTGCCAGGCACTTTGTTTTATCTTTCCAATAGCATTTCCTGAAATAAACCAAAGCAACACTTGGTCCGAGACCTCAGGGATAAGGAAGACTGTCCACCTCACTGGCAGTCCCTGAGAACAGCTGGGAGGCCCTACTGAACAGGTATGTCCTGGCTGAGTTTCACAATGAGTGCAAAACCATCATAGTTCTTTTTTTTTTTTCCTTTTTCTTTTTCCTTTTTCTTTCTTTCCTTTGGTTCCTCTAAGCTTGCTCTTTTGTGTTTCTGGATTCCCCCTTTGTGGTGTGGGGGTGGTGAATGGAGAGTCTGGCCTGTGTGTGCATGCTGGGCAGAGGTGCAGGGCTGATATTGGCTTGGCGGGGGGAGGGGCTCAATATAGAGAATGGCAAGCTTTTGGCTTCTGGCTTTGGCTTTTGGCTTCAACTGCAAGAGAAAGTGGCTGGGGAAATGCTTGGCTGACTTTTTCCTTGGTAAATGTGGAAGTGAAGTCTGTTGGCTTGGGTAGGAATAAAGATGCAGAGAACAGTGTACTGCATGTCTAGGGTGGTACTTTGGGCTCTTGGGACCTGTTTCACAGCCAAGGGACTAAGTCTAAATTAAAGATCTCTGGGCTGGCAAGATGGCTTATTGGGTAAGGGTGCTTGCAGCTAAGCCTGACAAGCTGAGTTTGATCTGTGGAGAGAATTGAATCTTGTAAGCTGTCTTCTGACAGCCACATGTGCACCATGGCATGTGTGAACATGCAAAGACACACAGGAGCATGCATGAGCAAGTACACACATACACACACAGCAAACCAACAGCAACCAAATTAAAGGCCTCTGATTAAGCACAACACTGAACTGAATTGTTTTGACGATTCTGATTTCCATTCTGAGTATGGCCAGGGTATTGGTTTTCCATGAGCAAGCATATCGAGGTCCTTCTGGTTGCCTACTCAACTGGCTATTTGTGAGTATCAGAGGAGATTTGTTTCAACTGTCCACTCATAAAATATCAAGTTAACTCAGCAAAAATAAAGACATGCAGACAAAACTACAAATGGACCCCTCTGAGTTCTCCTAATAGTCTGAGACAGCAGGATGGCTACTGTTCTGTTTAAATGGATATAAGCTTATCTGAATGCCTGTCCTTAGTTTTGAGAGATCAGAAATGACATTGCCACCCACTTTGGGGATGTTCTGCTGATTATGGATCCTAGGAATGGGACATAGGCCTCCCATGTGATACTATCCCTGCATGCTCGCACACATTGGGTCTGCTCTTGCTGCCACTTTCCACCTCTGGACTTTCCTCCTTTGTTTCAGATTTTGGATTCATAGCCTTATGACTTTCGCTGATGAAATATGAACTTCCAAGTCAATACAAAGTATATCCATTCAGTCTACATAATCATTTGAACTCTTGTCTAGTTGGTCGTGGTCCTAGAATTATCAGTGATAATTCCACTTTGAACTTGGGGCATTTTAAAACCCATGTGTTTAAATAAAATTGTCTTTTAAAAGCCACTTGCCTTAGGCATCTAGTCTGTGTGTCTAATAAGGAACCAAATAGTTTAGAACTGTTTAACAAGGCCAACCCCCAGGACAACGTCTTGGCTTCTGCTTGTCTGATTTCTGTCACCAGCTTAGCTTGCTTCTCAGTTTCTCCTGATAGACATTGTAGCTGTTGGCACAGTCAGGGTGAGCACAGCATCGCTGCTTCACATCATTTGAGCATCACCAATCATTTCCCACATAGCTCCAGCATCTGTAAACAGACTCAGGATTCATATTCCTTAATGAAAACTTTAGGAGGAACTGGAAGGAACCTGGAACATGATTAGATTCCCATATCTCACCTTACAGTTAGGGGAAAACTCAACCTGGACAGGGTAACTGAGCTCAGTTTGAGTGAGTGCAACAGACATTGCTTTAGAGGGGAGTCCCTTAAAGCAGAGGGATGGCACTTTAGAGAGAAGGTACAGGAGGTGGCAGCTGGTGGTCCTGGATCCTGGAAAACTTGATAGTGTTGAGATTAGGTCCATAGCTCCCTTCTCCAGAGAACAGACAAATGTGTGTTGGCACTATTTGGAGTGCTTGACTTCCATCTTGATACTCCAAGACAGATGCTTGTTAACACAAGCTCATAGGTAAAGAAGCTGAGGCCAAGTAATGAGGTTAAGTGTACCTAAGACCCCCACATATAGTAAGGAACCAGGTTTGACCCCCGGCAGCCTGATTCTAGAGCCCATTGGCTGGTCATCTGCATGTGCTGTCTCTCAAATGGGCCTTAGTTAAGGAACACATATCATACATTATATACCTCATTCAGTTCCAGTTGAAGTAGAGGATACCTGTGATGACTGTATCTTTAAAAGCCAACCCTCTAAGAAGCTATTTTAACCACTAAGAATAAGCAATTAGATCTCATTGAAGAGAATCCTAATTCTGGTCAAGGTTTGTACAGAATATTGTAGGCAACTCACCTTCTACACAAACTGTAGTTTTAAGACAAGACTCTGATGCCTGATAGGGACAAAAAGCCCTTTCTTGTGACCTCAGGAATCACAGGAGTTGTATGAACCACTAGAAAGTTCTGGCAAAGCATCCCTATGAACATTTAGGGTCAAAAAGGAGATCACAGCCATCTATGAAATGACATGACCAGAATGCTTCAGAAATGTCACCTAAATTTTTCTTAGTACCAGCCCCAGCAAGGGGAAAAGCAAAGGTGTCAAACTTACTGCCACATTTAAATCCTCAGGGGAATCATTGGTGTGAAGGTAACTGCTGTTGTCATAGGTGACTATCTATCTGATGTTTGTTCCAAGCACAAGCTAAAGGCATCATTTTCTGTTTTGGAGACTATGAGGAGACCAGAGAGTAAGATCACTATAGCACTGGGAATGAGGAATATGCATTTAATTTTTTAAAGGTACTTTAAAGTCAGCAGTCCAATTTACTGTTGGTATTTTAGAGATAGGGATTTAATAAAAAATAGGATGCTCACATCAGCAGCATCCCTTTAAGTCTTCCTGCTTGCTTTGTGTGTCTCTACGCACCTAATGGGCTGAAGCCTGATATTGCCTTTATATAGCACTTGAGGGAACATGAGATCATTACTTGGGGAGAGAACTAAAGGCTGCTTGGAGGTGCTTACTTCATGGTGGAATAAAATTAATTAATTTTATTCCAACATGCCTCCTGTTACAGTTGATGAATATGATTTTGAACATATACTTAGAGTTTGAGCAGACTCATGCACTAGGAATTTTTCCACAGGGGATTTTGTTTAGCCTTGGGAAGGGAAGTTGCTTTAGTTGTGAGTTTTCTGAGTGAGGCATATTTGATCTAGTGAGTAGAAACCTAAAGCAGACATGAAAGACTTCTAATTTCTGGGCTCGACTCCCTGTGTGAGCTAATTGCCGTGAATGCTATCTCAGTTTTCTCTATGCCCAAGATGTGGACATGTCTTTCTTTTTTACCATAGCACATGACCAACATTATTGATTATAGTTCTAAAAACAACCTTGTGAAGTGAGCTAGATGTCATCTTTCTCCATTTTGCTGGTGGGGAAACTGAGGTTTAGTCAGCTTAGATGATTGGTCTGAAATTCCAAGGTCAATAAGTTCTGGGTGTCTAGGTCTACTCAGTTTTCATCTTTTAAAATTCAGCCTATGCTGACTTCCTTTCAGGCTGCATTTTTTGAAGACATCTCAAATAGAATTACTAAAGGGCTTTATATCGTATTCTTTGGGTTGAGAAGAGTTATTCAATGTAAAACAAACATAAAACAGTGAAACTTGCCCATTGGACAGTAGAACGGTGCTAAGAAACACCAATGTCCACGTTCCCATGAACTTTCTGTAAGAACCTGGACTTCCTGTGTAGTCAGGGTTTGGGTAGTGTGGTAGGGTATCAGGGAGTTAAACATTTGAAACTCCATTTTGATCATGTGCCCAAGAGCCTGTAACATTACAACATTGAATCACATAACACTAATGCACTTAATAAAAATGATTTCTGGCCATTTATTCAAAATAACAATAAAGGAAAGGCCATTTTGCTTGGTTGATTTCCAAAATAACCAAACTGATAGAAACCCCCCTGTAAAGGTGATTTGTCAGCTGGGGACAGAAGTTTCCAGGACTCACCCAAACTAAACCAAACCCAACCCAACCAAACCCAATCAAACTCAACCAAACCAAACCTAACCAAAACTAAACAAAACACACCAGACATAATTTTAATCCCAGTACTGGAGTAGGAGTAAGAACAAAGATAGGCTAATGGATTATCCAGGGTGCTAGTAAGTTAGCCTACTAGGCAGGCTAGTCTCAAATAACAAAGTGGCCA